TTTGTGCTGCTTAACTATGTTTGCTTTTTTAATATTGTTTCTTTGACTGGAATCTACCAATGTGATAGATTGGTGAGGCTCATGTTTTGAAAAGTTTGAAATACGATTAAAATAACATTCTCATATTTGTTTAGTAACCTTTCCATAATTCACCCAATTCTTTCGTCTGTTATCACATAGCTCAAGAAAGAGTAGATCTATGGCCACCAAGTTTTTCTGTGGTTATTAATGGGACTCTGGAGTGTGTTTTTCAGCATATCAGGTTTTGAAAATTCTAAGACTTTAAAAAGGTCTCTGATTATAATGTTAATCTGTATTTTTATTTTTTGTCCACAGGTTAGATAAACATAATTTTTCTTTTTTTTTTTCTTTAACTGGATAAATTAGACATCAAGCTGAACATTTCTACACCAGAAATCAAAGTTATGAATGTTTATTTTTAATGATTTTTTACTTATATTTTTTTTTTTTTGGTCAATAGAAAATTAAAACTTAAAAAACTCACATTTATATTTGTAAATATATTTGAAAATATTTAAATTAAATGTGATCCAAGAGTTTGTGATGTTGATGATTTTCAAATGATTTAGGATTCAACAAATCTATGGTTCAAATGAAGGTTGATGCAGCTAACCTAAAATGAAACCTTGAGGGCAGGATTTTGGCTCATTTAAAAAAAAAGTCTCTGAAATAATTATATGAATAAAATACTTAATTCAATATAGTTGCTGAGAGAAGAGAATTTGATTTCAAAATGACACAGAAAAACCTTATTTCTTGCAATCAGTCTATTAGTAATAAAATTGTAGATGTTGATAGTATATTTCCACATGTAAAAGCAGAATTAACTTATGTTCAATGACATGTAGAATTCTCTTATACTTATAATTAGTTTACTATTTATAACTCCCATAAAAAAAAAAAAAAAATGCAGAATTTGAATTTGTCTTGTGAATTGGATGTAACTGCACATTACATGACTTTTTGAGCCAGACTACCACATCACACAATTCTGAATTTAAAACAGAATTATAGCTCTCCTTATACAAGGATCAAACGTCTCTCATTGTAGCGGTTGATTGTTGTTTGTTTTTATTTACTGGTATATTAACTTCTATGTGTAATGCCAAAATCTAACTATTTTTTACGCAATTTTATTTTATTTTTCTTAAGATAATAATGGCTTTAGTGATACAAATCTTACTAATTAACCCATAGCTGTGGGGAGAAGAGGTGGATTCATACCTTTCCCAAGGATATTTACACATAATTGAATATAATGAACCCAATTAGAATTGGAACTTGACTCTCCAGTTAATAATTTTGAGCCATTATCCATTACATCACACACACATTCAAGTTTACAGCAACTGGTATTCTCAAATGGTCACCCATCTTGCTACTGACCAGGCTCGGTGTTGCTTAACTTCAGTGAATGTATGGGAACTGGTGTTTCAATGGGATGTTGCTGTAATCTTATGATAGAGGGCTACTAAATGTAAAAGAAAATAGGTAGACGTAGAGGGAAGTGAAGATTATGAGGATCAGGAGGATGGATAGTAATTGACTTGAAGAGGTTAACATTGTAGTGTTCAGGGAAGCATCCATGTGGGAGTTTGTTCCACAAAGTAGCAGTTCTTGGGATAAAAAGCTGAGTGGAATGTCTTTTTTATCCATGGAATGCAGAGTAAATGTGAGTGATTCCAACGTGGGGACATGGAAGGGTGAGTTCTAGCTGTAAAGGTCTGAACTGGTAGAACTCTAAAAAAAGGTGCTCATCTGAATATTGGACATGGAAATATGATCTTCAACAATTTAAATGCAATGTCAATTGTTATCTTCTGTCTTTGTGAATCATGTTCTTTTATTGTCCTTACTATTAAATAATGTTTTCTCTGTTTTTTTTTTTTTGATGTCAGTAATCTCTTGTGTCTAAATAAAACATATTTTCATTTCAAACAAGGGTAAATGGCATTTGAAGATTAACCAAAATCTGATCAACCTTCATCAAGTCAAAATGACAAAAGTTATAAAATTCATTGTATAATCAATAACGGTCCTCATTAGTCCAATGATGTGATTTTGTAGGTGACTGGTTTGTTTTGGAATTTATTCCTGTGAATGTTAGCATTTTTGCCAAGTTTATGTTGCATTTGCTCACAGAAGATAAAAAAATCAAATAGTTTTTTTTAATACTGTTTTTACCCAATACCAAGCCCAAGATCCACTCAAGATAGAAGGTTACTGAATGATATTGTTGTATGGTGCATATCATGAGTATATGTAGGATAGATAACTTCTTTTATGCACTGTTTCCCATCAGGATGTAAGTTATCATGACCCTCCATATCTTCTTGTTCCTTGTAGGTCTTAATAAGTTTTGTGTTCGTGTTATTTCTCCCAAACCCTGTTCTACCATTCATTTACTCAAACTCATCAAATATCTTATACACTGCTTTTCTCTGTCCCTCTTTACCTCAATCTGTCTTGTGAGTATCAGATTTTCCAAGCCCTCCTTCCTCATTACATGCCCCCAGAAATTTCAACTGCCTCTTCCTGATGTTAAGTGTAAGTTTCCTTTTAGTTTCCATTTTCTCGAAAACCTTGTCATTGCTAACATGTTTGGTCCATGGTATTCTCAACATCTTTCTGTATAACCACATTTCTGTTGCTTCAAGTCTCTTCTTCATCTTTGAGGAGATTGTCCAGCATTCACTGCTATACAGGAGAGCAGATATCATGTAGCATTTCAGTACTCTTTACTTTGTTTCTAATGAAATCAGTTGTCTTGAAACTTGAAGTGGTTAAGATGGTAGTGGTCAAGGAAGCATCCTCTTGGGAGTTTGTTCCACAAAATAACCTTTCTGGGGAAGAAGCTGTCTGAGTGGAACTTTCTCCTTACCAGTGGAATATGAAGGGAATGAGGATGAGTTGACGATATGAATGTAGCATGGAGGTCCTATCTGTGAAGGTCTGGACTACTGGAAGTAAGAAATGTAGCTTGTTTGAGTATTTACCATAAAAATAGTAGTAGTGGATAGAGCTTAGTGCTGATTCATCTATGGGAAAAGGGTTGTAGGGTAGAAAATAATTCATCACCCACAAGGCCGTGTAAATGTTTTTGAACTCTGTTAAGGCTGGTGAGTAAAGTTTGATTTTGTGCCCCACAATTGAAGAGACCAAGATTACTATAACTCAGTCTCTTTCCAAAGTTGTGACCAAGGATAAATCACTTAATTCTGGTTAATTTTAGTAGACCTTTGCATAAAATTTCTGATACTGACTATCTATAATAAATTCTACATATATTGATTTTTGATTGATTTGTTTTCTACAGCTTACCAATCTTTTGCAGATTATTTAAAGCCAGAAAATATTTTTAGATTTTAAGAATATTTTTGGAGGGAGATAATGATTTAGTGATACAAATTGTACTAATTAACCTATATTGGTGGAGTAAAGAAAATGGATATATACCTTTCCCAAGGGTGTTTTTGCATAAGTGAATATAATAAACCTAATGGGAATTGGAACTCGGCTCTCTGATTAACAATTCTAAGCCATTATCCATTACATCACCTGCACATCCAAGCTTACAGCACCTGGTATTCCCAAGCAGTCACCCATCTAAGTGCTGACCAGCTTTGATGTTGCTTAATTTTGGGGATTGTAAAGGAACTGGTATTTTAATGTGATGTGACCATAAGCTCTATATCACTTGTAAAGATAATGTTGAGTGAATAGATTGTTTATATACCTTCCTGTACATTGTCTTCTTTGTCTACTACCGTGGTGTATCAGTGACAAGCCCTTTGTTAAGATTGCAAGGGGAATTGGATTCATGCCTTTCTTAAAGTGTGAAAGTGATATAAATGGATTATTTGAATATGATTATGATTTATTACTAATTTGTATCTTATTGCTTTTTATCAGAACATTTTTTTTTTGACCAGTGGAAGAAACAACCTAAAATTAGAAATAAGTAGATGGCAACAAGACTTGAAATTACATCTGCCAGGATTCTGTGGGGAGACTGGCCAATCCCAAATATGATAGATCATTATAGAAATGCTTATGCAAAGTTTGTTTTACTATTTTATGAGAATTCTTGATGAGTTTCATCTTGATGGATATACATCTCATCTTTCTAAGATCTTGGTTTTACTTGTTTTACTATGTAAACATATTACCATGGCCCTTTGTCAATTTTTCACTGACTGAACAGCTTCACCTGATAATATATTTTGATTTTCATCTGTGACACTTTGAACATAATCAAGAAAAACCTGCTGTACATTCAACAAAGAATGAAAGGTGAAATATCATCATGGTAGAAAAAGAAAAAATGAATCCTGTTTTTCATTTACTGAGTTCTTTATTCACAGAGGCACTGTTTATAAGAGGGGGTAGGTAAGTGACACTTGGGGCATATTCGCAGCTACTTCTGTCTTCTTTCACAATTGACTAACAGACTAGATCTTCCCATTGATCAGTGGGAACTCCAATTACCCCTCTGCCCATCTCTGATTATGACTAATTCTCACTGCCCCTTCTACATACCTAACCATGACTACCACTCTCTCCAACTGTCTCTGTGACTCTCACTCTCTACATCTTGATGGATAGCTCATGATTTTCCTATGGTAGAAATGTAGCCTGACTATATAAACCCAAGAATGGAATTCCCTATCTTCTGACTGAGTAGCATTTGATCCTGAAAGTATTCATTTTTTTTTCTTATTCGGGAGAGTAGATGATTGTTTTCAAGGTACCACATTTTGTGTTTACTGGTAGTTATAGAAACACCAGTTGCTTAATTCCTAGATAAAATCATTTACAATCAACTTGACTCTGTAGGTATCACAGCCCACTGTATAACAATTATATAGTAATAATATTTGAAAAAATGAATCTTATTTGAAGTAAATTGTAGAAAATTAAGAAAACCAATTATCTTTGATGAGACCTGCATTTGCATTTCACATCTTAGGAACTTTTGTTTAAAAATACACCCAAATTAAGAGGAGTCATTATCATTCTTAGAGTTGCTTAAACTATGGTGTTTATTCCTTTTGTTTTTATAATGTTTCAGATAATTCGTTCTACAGCCTTCATCAGGTGTAAAATCAGTGCAGAAAAAGAATGATCTAATTTATCTATAAAACAGCAGCAAACAGAAAAGAATGGCTACAGAATAGCTTTCCAGAAGTGTTGTGATGGTAACAAAAGTAATAAAAAGAATAATAACTCTTGGAATTAAAGGGTGTGTATGAATTCTTAATGTGGTGTTGGCCCAGTGCCAAATTCTGGTATATTAGCCAGATGTGATGAGATGTTTTTTTTTTTAGTTATTAATATTAAAAGCATAAATAGCTTTCAAAAAAGAAAAAAAAATGCTACTATATTATTTAATGGTATATATGGTTTAATGGCATATCAGGCACCCTCAGTTGGGCTTAAAAGTGGACATTTTTTTGAACATTTCCCTATATGGTATGTTCTGAAAGTAGACAGCTTCAGGATTTCAGAAATGGTCTAACTTTTTTCCCAACTCCAAGTATTTGTCAAGTTATGATTATTAAATTAAATTTAAGTTAAAGAAAGTAAAAAATGATGCCATTTTTTTTATTTCAATACAAAGTTGGCCTGCAGCAAGCTGATATTTGACATTTTGTTTGCAGCATTGCTTAAGTGATATGTGATATATCTAGTCTTAAAATAGATGTTCTCAGGATTTCAGAACTCATTTCAATTTGTTTTAACTCCAAGAATTTGTCAAGTTAGGATTGTTTAAATTTAATCAAAGCTCAACACATATTTAATCATTTAGATGATCAGTTCTAGATAATTGCTTTTTCTGCCTTCTCTTGTTAGGAATATCATTAGAATTTTGCTGAAATGAATGTTATAAGTGATAGGTTTAAATTGACAATTTTTTAAAAAGAAAATGACCATATCAAGTGGATTTTGGGGTGCCTAAAACATAAAATTCAGTAAAATTGACACAATGTTTTGCCATATTCTGCTTACTTTTTTGTTTCTGAATTCTTAAATTCAATTAATACTAACAAAAAATGCCCCAGACAAATTTTTTTCTCCTTTTTAGCATAAGATTTAAAACAATTTAAATCTGCAAAATGTAAGAAAATTGTTTCCAGAAAGGTATTTTTATAACATGCTCAGTTCCTTTCTTATGTTAAATTAATCATTACCCACTTTTGGCACCATATACTGGGCACCAACCATCAATTTTTAGTATTCATTAGAAAATCATGATCTAGACCTTTATTTTTTATTTTTTTGAGGTGGAAAATCCATTTTTGGCACTCCCTCTGTAAAGAAGTTTAAATGGATTATATGCACAATTTAAAGTCTTTTAGGGAATTTTAGCTCTTCTCTGCAGACCAAGAATTCTAAACCTAAATTGCTATCTTTTCATTAGAAATGTGAACATTTTGTTTTAATTTTCCTCTTAGTGCACAAATGACATTAATACAATTCCATAATTGGGCTGAAAATCATTTAGGGAGCTCAAAACTCAAAAAAATATCTGCTTAACTCAATATATTTCATAAATTTGTGATAAATGCGCAAACAGAAACTTGCGTTGAACTGGAGAAAAATGGAAACAAGGATGAAGTTCAGTCACATTTGATGCAACATTCAACAATCTTTTTCTGTATATTCCTTACTGAAAAGGGGTGGTGAATGTTCTTATATGACTTCAAATATGGTAAATGTTTTTTGCAAAACACTTTGGCTGTAAAATTTGATAGAAAAGAAATCCTTAGATATGGAATATATGTAAACAAATATATGGATATAGATCCGACAGTATGAAGAAAAATAAACAGAAAAAACAAACAAAAATCTTAATATGCAATTATGCTGTGATCATATTTAAACGGAACGCTGATCTTATATAAAAATTTCAGTTATCTGTTTGGATTAGTCATGCTCTTATGTCCATCATCTTTTTCATGTTGAATTTGAATATGTTCTAGTGTTAATTATGTTTTATGAATATGTCCTGATGATGGTCTAAAATAGACCAAAACGTCCGACGTTGACATTATATTAACATTAACACAGCATAATTGCATATTAAGATTTTTGTTTGTTTTTCTGTATATTTTTTTTCATAGAATATATATATATATATATATATATATATATATATATATATATATATATATATATATATATATATATTTGGTTTAGATGTTTTAGTGATCCTGGGTTTCAAATCGTCTTTTAGGGTCACAAACTCACATCTATCCAACCAAATATGTTAGCTCTATCTCTGATATTGAGCGCTTTCTAATAAGTACTATAAATAATTATACATATATATATTTATTTATATTTATATACACTTTTCACATATATATATATATATATATTCCATATCTAAGATTTCTTATATAATTAATTATATAATAATTCTTATATAATTAAGGATTTCTTATATAATTAATTATATAATAATTCTTATATAATTAAGATTTCTTATATAATTAATTATATAATAATTCTTATATAATTAATTTCTTACATAATAAAGATCTTGAAAATATATTGAGCACTCTTGAGAGCCTAATTCTACAAACAGCAGCTGCCTACGCCAAAACACAAAACTCTTCAGTCAAATGAACAAGGGCACTCTGAGTGACTGGCATTTGTTTACATTTGTAAAAACAATATGCTAGAATTAGCAGTTTCTCTCTGCTGAGTGCTGATGGCTTAGAAACTCTGACTGACACCAAATTGGTTGGGTTTCAATCCCAGCTTGAGGCTTTCGTGTGTCTAGTCACACTGAGGAGCTGTGATACAGCGAAACAGTACTGTGTGCGAATGATATATATATATATATATATATATATATATATATATATATTCAACTAGATATAATATGAATGTCTTTAACAATCAGCAAGACATAAAAAAATTACAATGTGTACCTGGTGAATCTACTATTTGATGTAGCATTACTTATGTGATTTTGCTTACCAAAGCTGCTTCTACTAAGTAGAATTCATTATCTCTGATTTGTGAGCTGAAGAATGAACTAACTTATGATGTGATAAAAAAAGGAAAGATGAAGAAAATAAAAATAAAGAATAATAATAAAATGGATGGAAAAATGAAAATATTTAATATCAGATTTTTAAAAAAATCAATGTATTACTGAAAATTTAAGAGTAAATGAACAGATTGATTAAAAATATTGTTATAAACATTAGTTCATCTTGGAATCTAAAACCAGATATATTACTTTTAATGACTAAAAATTTGTCAAAAGCAACAACAAAATAAATAAACCAATCAAAACTCAAAAGATGTGGAATAAAAGAAAATTCATCTTGAAATGCTAAGCCAATTGTATTTTGTTGGCTTTTTGGATTTCCTCCTCATTTGAATTTCATAAATATATAATAAATTCATAAAAAGAAAGTTGATTTGAACTGGAGCAAATTTGAAACAGAGATGAAGTTCCAGTAACATTTGATGTACCATCCAATAATTTTTCATGGCATTACCTATTGAAAAATAAATAGTGGGGTATTGTATATTTCCATAGGACTGATATGGTATCAAATATAGTATTTGCCACACTGCTGAGTATTTTGCTAGCAGGGACCATTATTTATTTTTTGAATTCATATTGGTTTACACTTTGCTCTCAGTGTATATCACAAAACATTAAAATTCAACTACTCATCCATACTACCAGCTGACTGAATGTAGTGTTATATTTAGATACCTTTATTCATATTTAAAACTTAAAAATAAATTCAGAGTAAGGAAAACTAAACAATATTTCTAGGAACTGGCAAATATAATGTGTTCTTTTAATTGTTATTTTCCATAAAACCTATAATTAAATGGAATCTACATACTTAAATGTTTATTTAGCTAAAATTCTAGTAGCCCATATAAGTTTTTTGTCTGTAACAGCAAAAATAGATAAGGGGGTCTTTTCTTTTGTAGTTAGTACCCACCAAAAGTTAACATTAATAATTATTTAAAGTCATGGATGAAAAGAAAACAAAAAAGAAAAAAAAGGTTAAATTGTATTTTCACTATTTACATTATTCGGACTATTGTCCTCATCTTTGTTGCCATATTTATCAAAATGTTTCAGTCATTGGCCTTCTTCAGGTGGTTGGAATGTGAAACTGAACCCTTTATTTTGCTCGCTGGGGTAGACTGTTCTAGTTCCACGTGCCATGTCTAATGGATGTCAGTTATCTCCTGTTAATTCTCCTCTCCAAGTTGTCTACTGCCTTAACCAGGTATAGTGGATAAAGGCGTTGGTGTGATCCTGTGACAGGACCCAAAGAGTTGTGAGTTCAATACCTGGTTAAGGCAGTGGAGAACTTGGAGAGGGGAATTAACAGGAGATAACTGATAACTGACATCCATTAGACATGGTACATGGAACTAGAACAGTCTACTCCAGTGAGCAAAATAAAGTTCAACATTCCAACCACCTGAAGAAGGCCAGAGCATACAATGGCCGAAACATTGTGATAAATATGGCAACAAAGATGAGGACAATAGTCCAAATAATATAAACAGTATACATAATACCTCATCTCAGAAATATAGGCAGAAATTGTATTTTATTTTATTTGCCAAAAAAGACCCAAAATACTAAAAACCTCACCACATAATAAACAAAACTGCAGCTAAATGTTGGTTCACCATGTCATGCTAGACATTTTTCTTGCCAGAATCTGTCTTACATATTTATAAGTCTACCATTTGTCCATGCTTTGAATATTGTTGCTATATCTGGTCTGATGCTCCTGCTATATATTTAGAGATTCTTGATAAAATCCAAAGAAGAATCTGAAATGTTATTGGTCCTGACCTGGCATCTCGATTTCAGTCCTTTTTCCACCACCATAACATAGCTTCCTTGTGCCTTTTCTATAAATAATTTTAATGGTAATTGTTCTGATGAACTTTCCTCTATAGTGCCTAGACTTTATGAATTTAAGTGCAGTACTAGATTGGCAGCAAGGTCTCATCATTTACAGCTCAAATGGTTAGATGTAACCATAAGTTCTATGCTAACTGTTTCTTCTATCGTAATTCTCTCTTGTGGAACTCTCTTCCAGCTTCTAGCTTCCCAGTCAACTTTGGTCTTCAAAAATTTAAATGCAATGTCAATCAATGTCTTGTTTTCTTATTGTCCTCTTTCTCATATTCTCTAACACTCAGTAACCCCTTGCATCCTAGGGGTTTTATTGTCTTGCTTGGGGTGAAATGGTTTAAAAAACAAACCCAAAATGCCTAACCCCAGGGGCAGGGGACTAGCAAAATCATCTTAACATATTGTTTCCCATTGGTTATGAAAACTTTGATCAAGTGGGGACTCATTAAAACTCAAAATTCTAATTTTTTTCTTATGTCAAAGTTTTGAAAGTTTGAGCTTGTTAGAATAATCCAGAACTCATACATAGAGCAAGCTGCCTGCATATGGATAGAAAATGAATAGAAAGGGGTGTAAGACAAGGAAGTGTCTTCTCTTCAGCTTTATTCAACCTCAACAGCGAGGCTGTCTTATTGTAGCTAGAGAACCTACCAGGATTTGGTGTGCATAATGTTAACAATGTAAGATATGTGGATGACACTGTGTTGATGGCTGACATGGAAAGAAAATTACAAGACTTCTTAGACACGGTAGCAAAAGAAAGAGAGAAAAAAGGACTATCAACTGCAAGAAGATGGAAAGTCTAGACATCAGTAAGAGAAAAAGTTCAAAACATGATGTACAAATCAGAGATGTCAACATCAAACACATACAGAAGTTTAAATATCTGGGAAATTTTTTAACAGGGTCACAAGAGATAGGAAGTTGTGGAGAGTCATGATCGCCCATGGCCTGAAGGGATGTGGCACATAGAAGAAGCTTTTTTAGATACAAAATTTTGTTTAGGAGTAAGAAGGGGAATGTTTTGATTTTTCAAAATAAATTTGCTGTCAAAATTTGATTCTAAACTTGCAGTTCAGAATCAAATTGAACTGAGTTTTAAGTTGGTAAGAAAAAGAAAATGCAATTTAATCTTATTTTTTTTTTTTTTTTAGATTTCCATCTTTCTTTAAAATTATGTCTGTTAACCTTTGATAGGGACTAACACAAAACCCCAAGCAATAATATAATATTGCTGGAGAAATTGCTATATTTACCAGCTTCTTGGACAATATTCCATTCTATGAACAGTATAACTCAAGTATCTGATGTTCAGTATTCTATCTATCATACCAGTATATAAAAATTTGTATCTATACTTTTTTTTAATGAAATATGCATTTTATAGGATGGTTGATATGTTGTATTGCCTTGATTTTTTTTAAATTATAAAATACATCTTTAAAAGTGATTTTCTTATGCAGCTGCTACTTCAGCCAACTTTAGCTGAAAACATAATTTCTCCCTTTTGTAAAACAGTTTACTTACTGTAAACATTCACTTAGTCAACTGTTATTTAAGTGTTATGATCTCTGAAGACACTGGCAGGTTGGAAAGAACAAGATTGTAATGTTCTTTTATGTATATTGTAGATGCATATATATTCCTCATGCATTCTTAATATTTTACAGGATATCCCAGAGGGAGAGACCTTTTCTGAATTAGACAAAAGCTCTGAGTGCATTTTAATATTTTATTGGCATTCATCATGTCAATTATTCTGTAATAACAAAAAATTTTGAGGAATTTTTATACATTACTTCACCTTGAATTAGTAGGTAGTAGTGGACTGGTTCTAAAAACATTGGTTGCCAGGAGACAAACAGGGCCCACACACAACTATAATGCTATCATTTAATTTTCATGACAAATAAATAAAAGTTTCAAAAAATACCTATGGAAAAATGGGTATAATTAATATTTTTGTGGTAGAAAATATGTATTTTTTAGTAATTACAATGTACATGTACTGTACATATTACTGGCAGTAAATACCAAATGTAAAAACAGAATATTATAATTTAATTTTTTACTTATTTTTTTTTTTTTAATTTAAATAACTGGTTGATATTTTTAAATAGTTTACAGCACAATTTGAACATTAACAGATAGTTCAAAAGCACAATAAAACATTGCGTGCAGTCCACTACATTAAGAATAGTAATTTGTGTTCACTAGATGATGGTTTAAATATGCCAATAATTTTTTCTGCATCCAATTCATCTAAGAAATCCTTTTCAATGGATAGAAACATGTATGATTCCAAATTCTCTTCAGACAGCGAATTTCTTAACCATGTCTTTATGATCTTTAGCTTTGAAAATGTTCTCTGACACTGGACTTCAGTAATGGATAGTGTGCACTGTGCAGATGAATTATTCTTAGTTCTTCATTTTTGTTACTAAAACACTATCAGGGGTCCACTTCTCATTGGGTAAGCTGATACCCTGGCCAGTCTGTCACTGTCTTGAATTATCTATATCCCAGCCCATTTATTTTTATGTCTTTCATCCTGTCTCTCTCTTTCTCAGCCTGTATGTCTCTCTCTAACCCTGTTCTCAGCCCACATGTCTCTCTCTCCCTCTAACCTCATTCCTGTCTCTCTCTTTCTCAGCCCACATGTCTCTCTCTATAACCCTGTTTCTGTCTCTCTCTTTCTCAGCTTATATGTCTCTCTCTCTCTCTAACCTTGTTCCTGTCTGTCTCTTTCTCAGCCCGTATCTCTCTCTTTAACCCTGTTCCCATCTCTCTCTTTCTCAATCTGCATGTCTCTCTCTCTAACCCTTTTCCTGTCTCTCTTTCTCAGCCCACATGTCTCTCTCTCTCTCTTTCTAACCCTGTTCCTGTCTCTCTCAGCCTATTCCTCTTTCTTTGTTATAACCTGTTCTGATTTCTGCCTATTTCTATCTTTCTGTATATAGCAGCTTGTTAATATCTATCCAGCCCTGTCTGTCTTGGCTTATCCATATCTATCTATCTATCTATCTATCTATCTATCTATCTATCTATCTATCTATCTTCTACGGAAATAGTGGTAGAGCAGTAAATCTATCTGTCTTTGTCAGTCTGTTCATATCTATCTATCTATCTATCTATCTATCTATCTATCTATCTATTACACTGTAGGCATTATTGTCTATCAAATCATGGAACATTATTCAAGTATTTGGAAAAACAACTTTTTTCTTCCATTGCTGAATTTAACAAACAGACAAATTTGTCATATTTCATGGTTTATATTCCTCCCTTGCCTCCCATTAGTATTTCATATTATAATATTTATTATACTATTTGGAGTTAGACTAGCTACAAGTACTAGTAGTCTACACTATCTGAGCAAACAGGAGTCTATCAGATACCTCAACTTTGCATATGGAAAGCATTGAAAAGTTCTCATCTTGACCCATTTCCCAAAATGTGATTTTCGTTTTTATTGTTAATGTATCTGTAAGGACTGTTTCTTTTTATATTGTAAAATTCCAATTTGGTGAATCCTTGCAATAATCTTTGAATTTGTTTCAGCAAATTGTCAGAACCATATAAACAGAAAGTGTGGAATTTTCAAGTATGGAATTCCAGATCATTAGATTTCCTGTTTTTGCAGATGAAAACTCCAAAGGAAATTCATACGTGTATGATGCAAACATTGAGTAACAAGTGCCCACCATATTCAACTGTAAAGAAAATCGAACAAGGAGATCTTGAGACACAAGGTGCACCATACACTGGTCCTGCAACAGTGCTAAATCCGGAAATTGTTGATCACGTTTGTAATATAACAACATCAAGTAGAAGCTTATGAAGTCAACTTTAGTGTTGAAAATGTTATATTTATTGTAATACATAGTTACTAGTAAGAGGGGAGATGAGGTGTGCTTATTTTATTACCACAATGTCCGACTTAATTTTGGCCAATGGACGAATTTCAGCCCAAAGAATTTCTGTATCATTCGATGTTTCCAGAGAATGTTGTAGGTTTCGTGATTTGTGTGCAATTAGCTATGAAAAGATATCAGCCAAATGGGTTACAAAATGTATGAATGTCAACTAGAAACAATAATTGAGTGGACATCAAGTTGTGTGCTAAACAGTTAATGTTTAATGTTGAACTAATTTGCTGTGCAGTTTAAAGGAAAAATGACAAGATAAACTAGAAATATATTCTCTTGTTGCAGAGTAATACACCTGATTACAGAGTTTTTTTTTAATTTGGTATTTCAGCTCTCCAGATCTTGATATTCTGACTATTTCCTATTACTAAATCTTAAAGAGAGTTTGAGAGGAAATTTTTAAATGATTCAGAGCAGTATTTAAATAAGACCAAAAGAGGCACAGTTATATTGGGTATAATATAAATGCATTGCTAATGATTTTACTATAGAAAGGCATTGAAAACAAGAAGGAAGTTTAGCAGGATTAATAGCAACTTTTTACTGAACTGAAAGTTGTAAGTGGAAAAAGGACATTAGCTTTTGAGTGTTTGGCATATGTCTGCTAAGTTTGAGAAATAGCCATTTCTGAGTTGAGACTTCTGGATGTTTCTAGTAGGATAGCAAAAAAAGAAAAAAAGGACAACAAAATATTAAAAAAAACAGTAAGAAGAACAAAATATAAAAATACATTTATTTATCCAAATACGTTAGGCTCTTTAGATTTTTAAAAGTTTAGAATAAAGAGAAATATATTAAATTTTGTTTATCAATGTTCCTTTCTTTTGTATGTAAGGAAGAAAAATATTTTGTATTAATTCGACTTGTAAGATTAAAGTTCTTGAAAACAGATACATATCAAAGTAGGTTGAGGTGATTTGTAGTTAATAAAACGTACAATAAATGTCGAACTGAAAAAAGAACTTTCTTTATACTATCAGCTACGATTTAAAATGGTTAGGCTTCTCGTTGCCATGCTCATAAAAAGAGATAAGAATAGGCTCAGACAAAATGGTGTATCTGCTGGATGGTCCGGCTGAAATTGTGTCTGATTCGCTCTCTGATTGACTGTGCCGTTGTCCGCCATTTTATAACATCGGCATCCATAAAATATGCTCGTATACATGTATCTTTCTAATTTTTTTGTTGGCTGGGAAAAAATTATTTATTTACTTTTTGTTTTAATTTTTAGCCGATTGTGAATATCATGTTTGGGGCTGGAAATGATTTCTCTGGCAGGCCTTTGTTGCAGTGAAACTTTCTGTTGAGATTTTTAAAATTTTTTATTCATTGTCAATTTGTTTATATTGGAGAAAGTCAAAAGAGATTGCCAGTGCCCAGGAATTAATGCAAATCGAATAGATCTATTATATGAATTGATTTATTAAATAAATGGAAAATTGTAAAGTATATAGAAAGAAAGATCCAGATAGATATAGAAAGAAAAAATGATCCAGATAAAGAAAGAAAGATCCAGATAGACCCAGATATAGATAGAAAGATCCAGAAAGAAAGAAAGATCCAGATAGAAAGAGTGATAGAAAAAGAAAGATCCAGATAGTGATAGATCGAAAGAAGGACAAACGATTGAACCAGATATAGGTAGAAAGCTTCAGATGTAGCGAGAAGATGCAGACAGAAAGAAACATGTAGCGATAGACAGAAAGATCCAGATACAGACAGAAAGATCCAGATAGCGACAGAATTAAAAGTCCAGACAGAGATAAAGACATCCAGATGAAAAAAGCAAGAAAGGTTCTGATGTAGAGTGAAAAATTCCAGATATAGACAGAAAGAAAGACCCATATTTCGACAGATAGGAAAATCCAGATGAACACAGGAAAAAGATCCACATGTTAACAAAAAGATCATTCCAGATGTAGTGAGTGTGTGTGTATTTATGTGTGTTTTTGTGTGTGTGTGTGTGTGTGTGTGTGAGAGAGAGAGAGAGAGAGAGAGAGAGGAGATATAAATGTAGATGTAGAAGCAACGAAAAGAAGGAAGAAAAAAAGACCTAGTTGTAGGCAGAAAGATGGGGTCAGAAAAATGTAGGTGTAGGCGAAAGATTCAGACAGAAAAAAAATTCCAGATAGCGATAGGTAAAAAGATCCAGATATAAAGATCTAGACAGCGACAGAGAGAAAATTCCAGATAGAGACAGATTGAAATATCCAGATAGAGACAGAAAGATCCAGACAGAGAGAGAACGATCCAGACGTAGAAATAAAATGTCCTGATGTAGATATAAAGATCCAGCTTTAAACATATAAAATGTAAACGTAGACACAACGAAGGAAGGAAGAAAGACCCATATTGTAGACAGAAAGATTCAGATGTAGGCAGAACTATGCAGACAGAAAGATCCAGATAGAGACAGATAAAGAGAGAGAGAGAGAGAGAGGATACAGATGTTGACACATAAAAGAAAGATCCAGAGAGAAAAGACGCAGCCGTAGAAGGAAAGATCTAAATCTAAACAGAGGGATATGATCCATATGTACATAGAAATATCTAGATAGAAAGAGGCAGGTCTAGATAGAAAGATTCAAATACAGATAGAACGATGCAGGAAGAAATAGAATGAAAAAAAAGTTCAAATAGAGATAGAAATAAAGAAAGATCCAGATGTAGAGAGAAACCTACCCGGTGTCAAGAGAAAGATCCAGCTGAACACAAAAAGAAATGTCCAGATGTTAACAGAAAGATCATTCTAGATCTAGTGAGAGAGAAGATCCAGACCTTGACACATAAAACAAATATCTAGATTGAAATGATCCAGATGTAGTCAGAACGATCCAGATGTAGAAGGAAAGATCTAGATATAAACACATAGACAAGAACCACATGTAGATAGAAAGATGTAGACAATGCATTGTAGATCTTTTTGGAGGACACAGATTTAAATAGAAAAAAATCCAGATGTCAATATAAAAGATCCCGATAGAAGCATAAATGATCCGGATATAGAAACAAATTTTCCAGATGTAGATAGAAAGATCCAGATTAAAAAATATAGAATGCAGATGTAGACACAACGAAAGAAGGAAGAAAGAACGGCCCAGATGTAGGCAGAAAAAATGGATATGTAGACAGAATGATTCAGATAGTGATAGGTAGAATGAATCACATAGTGATAGATAAAAAATCCCGATAGAAAGATCGGGATAGGGACCGAGAGAAAAATGCAGATAGAGACATAATGATCCAGGTGTAGAAATAATATGTCCTGATGTAGATAAAAAAAAAATCTAGGTTTAAACATATAGAATGTAGACGTAGACACAAGGAAAGGTGAAAAGAAAGACCAAAATGTGGATAAAAAGATGAAGATGTAGACAGAAAGATGCAGACAGAAAGAAAGATCCAGATAGCGATAGATAGAAAGATCCAGATAGACAGAAAGCTCAAGATAGAGATAGAAAGATCATTCCATATGTAGAGAAAGAAGATCCAGATTTTGACACAAAAAACAAGATCTAGAGAAAAACATTCAGATGCAGACAGAACGGTTCAGATGTAGAAGGAAAGATCTAGATATAAACAGAGAGAATAAGATCCACATGTAGATAGATAAAAAAAATATAGACATGTGGATCTTTCTGGAGGTTCCAGATTTAGACAGAATGAAAAATCCAGATGCAGACATAAAAGATCCCGATGGAAACATAACGATCCAGATATAGAAATAAAGGTTCCAGATGTAAATAGAAAAAAAAACAGATTTCAACATATGGAATGTAGATGTAGACACAACGAAAGAAGGAAGGAAGAAAGGCCCAGATTGTAGACAGAAAGATGCAGATGTAATAGAAAGATATAGAGAAATAAAGTTCCAGATATAGACAGAACGATCCAGATGTAGAAAAAAAGATCTAGATAACGATAGATAAAGATCCAGACAAAAATCCAGATAGACAGAAATATACAGACAGAAAAATCCAGATAGCGATAGTTAGGAAGATCCAGACAGAAAGATCCAGAATAGAGACAGAAAGATCCAAATAAAGATAGAAAGAAAGAAATGTCCAGATAGAGATAGAGAGAAAGTTCCAAATGTAGAGAGAAAGAAATATCCAGATGTAGAGAGGATAGTTCCAAATATAGACAGATAGAAAGATTCATATTTCAGCACATAGAAAGATCCATATGAACACAGAAAGAAAGGTCCAGATGTAACAGAAAGATAATTTCAGATGTAGAGAGAGAAAAGATCGAAATGTTAACACATAAAAGAAATATCTAGAGAGAAAAGATCCAGATGTAGACAGAACGATCCAGATGTAGAAGGAAAGATCTAAATATAAACGCATAGACAAGAACCACATGCAAATAGAAAGATCCAAAATATATAGACAGTGCATGTAGATCTTTCCAGAGAATCCAGATTTAGACAGAAAGAAAAATCCTAATGTAAATATAAAAGATCCCGACGGAAACATAATTGATTCAGATGTATTAGGTTGGTGCAAAAATAATGACGTAATAATGTCGTTTTTTGACGTATTTTTTAACGTCAAAAAACGACATTCTTACGTCATTATTTTTGCACCAACCTAATATAAAGTGAAATTACAGATGTAGTTAGAAAGATCCCGATTTAAACATATAGAATGTAGATATAGACACAACAGTAGAAGGAAGAAAGAAGATCCACATGTAGGCAGAAAGCAAGATGTAAACAGAAATAATTCAGATGCATTTGTACACAAATAGAATGATCAAAATGTCGTCAGAAAGAAACAGAAATGATCTGTTCGGGATCTTTTCTGTAGAAAGAAAAGATCCAGAACGATTATTTTCCCCTCGAGGTATTTCGGATGCCTTTTTTCGGGAAAAAAATAATATAAAATAAAAATAAATGTGTACTTTGGTAATTTTAACGATTACATAAAAACAACTAATTCTGAAATTTGAAAAAGTTAATAAAAAAATTTGATAGACAGAACTTGTCGATATTATTCAATCAGACATGCTTCAATTATTTTTTGCTGCCGAAATACACCATAGGGTATCCCCCAGACGAGGCTCTGTCGAAGGGCAGAGTCTCGTCTCGGGAAACTGACTCCGTTTTTACGTGGTCTATGGGGAATTTTTGCCCGAGCCTAAGGGCTTGGATACCCCACTTTAAACTCGGCCTTGTGCCACATCTTGCTGCGTGGGGCAGCGGGTAAATAATTATATACATACATATATATATATAAGAAAGAGAGAGAGAGAGCGAGAGAGGGGGGAGAGTGAGTGAGAGAGAGAGAGAAAGAAAGAATGGGAGATTGGATATCGTTTGACATATTCAACTCCGAGGTAGAGCCTGCATGTAAGAACCTGTACGCCTGAAGCTGACCTTAGTTTTATTTACTCTTTTGAGCTGCGACGAAGAGAAATGAATAATATCCTGTCTAAAAATTGAAATAATAATCTGATTAAAAAAACATGCAAATGAGACGAAGTAACCAACTTTAGCTGGAATAAATTTTCGAGATATGCACTTTGATTATATTCATAATAAACTCTACATTTACATTAGTTCCGGATCCACGACGATTCCCTTCTTCCTGATTTTCAATGCATTTCTATAGTAAAATAATTAGAAATACATATATATCCCCCCCGCCGTTAGCGATTTGCAAAAAAAAAAAAATAGTTTACAAATTCAAGTGCCCTTTGGGAGATTGTATCTCCAATGGATTAAATAATATTTATGTTGGTCACACCACAAACTCACTTTCACGACGCTTGACTCTACATTTGAATGATAACTCTAACATTTTTAGGCATTTAAAACAATATACCTGGTCGCATACACAATTCCGGAAAATCCTCGTTGAAAACACAATTATACTTAAACATGAAAACAATAAACAAAAACTAAAATATTCTTGAAACTATATACATAAAACAGTTGAAACCTAACCTGAACAAAATAAACTATGAAATTTCCACAAATATTCTTAAATGTCTATAATTGATAACAGAAGCCTTTGGTTTATACTAACGGTTTCCCATACTTAACACTTCTCGTTTTCACTCTTGCGTAGTCATGTGTGACGTCACGAGATGCGGTGAGATTTTCGCTTCCGCGTCTCGTATACACGAGTTTGTCGTTGCTTGGAAATTTTTCATGCAACAAAAACAGACTATCATTATTGTTTTGTCCGTTTATTGTTTAATATATTGAAATGTAATTGTCATGTTTGGTAATGGCTTATGTAAGGATAGGATTAAAAAACATATATCAATATGGTGTTGTTCTTTCATCTTTCAATGATAATGTTATTAAGCTTATCAGACAATATGAAAGGAATTAACTTAAAATAAATAGACAAAACTTGTCTATATTATTTAATGAACCATGCATTAATATATATATATATATATATATATATATATATGTATAGTTGTAGAGTGGATAAATGAAACGGCCAAATATAAGAAGGTGTGTACGTGTGTGCTAGTGTGCATACGCAGGCAAGCAAATAAATAATCGTTAAATTTATGCATGAGTTGTAAACGTAATAGTGTTCAATGCGGTTATACAGAGCAAAGATATGTATTAATTAGTACATATACGCGTACCTACGACTATAGTTTCGCACGGTGGTGTTCCCAGTTCGTCAGCCAGTGGAACTATAGCCGCACGCCAAAAACGTAGGTACGCGTATATGTACTAATTAATACACACACACACACACACACACATATATATATATATGTTGAATTAATTAATTAATTTATAAACTATTGTCGTTCTAGTTATCTACTGAGCATTATTTATAAAAATTCTGGTGGTTTTTAAATTTATTTTTTTACTGTAAAGTTCACCTTGTACAAGTCCCAGGGGTTACTCGAGGTACGAGGCAACGTTAAGATACAGATTATACGCATCGTAGGGGAAAATAAAGGTTAACCATAGATTTGAAAAGTTTAAGATTGTAGCGATTAGGGAAACATCCCCTTAGGAGTCGGTTCCATAGAGCAGTGGTTCGCGTGAAGAAGCTGTTCGAGTGGAACTTACTTCTAACCGATGGAATACGAAGGAGATGTGGGTGGTTTGCTTCAGTACAAGTGGCATGGCGGGTCCTAGCCGTGAAGGTTTCCCCTGTCTTCTTTCCTGGACTCTGACAAACCCTTTCTTATGGATTTTCAATGCATTTATATTTATTAATGCTACGTTCCTTCAGGTCGTAAGCAGTCATGTCTCTATACAAATTCCATTTCTTTATTGTCTGTGAATTGTCATGACTTATTGGAAAAATAGTGGAGTGGTTTATCGTTTGCCTTCTTCATCGTTTGGAATTCAGAATTTTCCTTTTCTTACACTGGTTGTCAGAAAGCAGAGTTTACTGCTTTTTTAAAAAAAACTATAACTGGCGAGTATGGTTTTGTAGAGGGTGTGATAGCTATAATTTGTTTCGTCGGCCCTAAGGTAGCCACGCCTCTAACTATGGCAACATGAATAAACACAAACATGGATTTATAGAACAAACAATAACAATTATTTATGAGGCGGAACACTGGCGCTGTGGAAAAGAAAAAGGATGTGTCTCTGACACAGCAATTAGTTCGTCGTAGGAACGGCAAACACCGGACATAAATAACACATGTAAGCTTTTCGGGTGCGTATCTAGTTTTAGTATGTGAAGCTCGTACTTACAAATAAATCTAATTATATACCAGTGGAGCGTTAATTCTCGTGTCAAATTCCTCGTCCGGAGACAGAATATTACGGTGCCGATGTGCTGTTTCTGGTCCGTCGATGTCGTTGCTTTCTTCTCTGTCTCTATACCGCTAACTGTTTAAATCAGGCATGGATAACCTATTTTTAGCAGTGGAACCCATCTAAGGCTCATCACAAGGCGGGCCACACTACTAAAAGGATTCATGCTAATTTTTCGTGGTAGGTACCTCAGCTATTTTCATTACAGAAGACGACATGTGTAAGCAAATACCTTAGAAATGGGGGACAAGTTTATTTCTTTTTCTTTGGAGAAAAGATTTTTCTATAATTAAAAAATTGAAGTCTTGGTAAATATTATCGCTGATGACAGTGTGATTAACACATGTTGCTGCGTGTGATTTATTTCTAATTTATTCATTTTAAAATAAAAGCGTATATTTCTTCTTTAGAGAAAAAACTATTATGTTTCAAAAATAAAGGATATTTACATGTATGATCTTCCGTAGTGAAAATCGCCAATAGGTTAAAAGGATGAAAGCGTTATTTTCATCGAATGTTTAAAAAATTCAAGAAATATTGTATTTAATCATTGTTTATGTATGTATAAGAGTGTGTGAGTGAACAAGTGAGAACGAAACAAAATTTTAAGAAACACTATTTTCCTTATGAAATTAAGCGGGCCATTCAGAAAGACCACAGTTTGCGCATGTCTGTTTATTTTTAAATGGTATTACATTTCATGTGGCACAAGGCCTAAAGAGGAAGTGGGTAAAAGCTAGTCGTACACCTAGTTAATCTGATTCACAACTCTTTGTCTTCCCTCTTTCCACGCGATCCAAACGGAATAGTCCATTATTTATGAGGTATTGTTAGGGCGTAACGTATGCGCTACGGAAAAGTAGAATTTTATTTTT